TGTGTATTATACATGTATATTAACTCAAAATTTTGAAACTTTAAATGTTTATATCTAATAAGCTAATAAAGTTATATTAAAAATTCAAATGCCATTTACTATTAAATTAAAAACTCAAACATTTTATTAAATTAAAAATATGTGTTACCATTTAAAAAAACAAAGTGACCCCCTCCAAGGCATAAGGGATGAACTTAAAAAGTATTACATAGTTAAAAATTCAAGAATAATGTGTAACTAAAATAATGAAAAAAAAAAATGTTTAAATTATTATTATTCTGCAAGTAATTGAGTGGGTTATGATAAAAAAAATCACCCTGTATATATATATATAAATCTATATTTTTAAATTATTTTCAATTATTTTACTAGAACATTTAAAGATAAGCATTATGTGTGAGCAAATTAAAACAAAAAATTTTAAGCCATTTTTATTATTTAACTTTTTTTTTTTTCATTAATTATAATAAAATTTAAAATTAAAGTGATCTATTATTGCATAGTTGTTCATTAAAAGATCAAAGGATTACATAATTTATAATAGGTAAAAATATTTTATCATATCATTGTAATGCGTTTAAAAAGTACAACAATTGAAAATAAAAACCAAAATGTTTTGGCTAAATATGGTTTCAAGACTGTTATTGAATAAATCTTAGTAGTAGTATAATTTATATACTGACCAAAAAAATTAACTATTTATAACTTACATAAGCTAAATGATAATCATAGTTAGATTATGAAAAAGTATATGTAAGAAAATAAAATGGTTAAGTTAAAAAATATGCGTTAAATTTGTTTGTTTTGACTTGCTCACACGTAATGCATAGTTTTAAAAGTATTTCTAGAATGATTAAAAAATAAACTTTTACAATTTTCATTAAAATTTTACACAAAAAATTGTTGAAAATATATATATTTTGTTTTCTTATGATTTTATTATTAAAAAGTTTTTATTTTAAAATATTTAAATATTAATTGATTTATAATCAAATGGTGTTTATAATGTTTGTTTTTTCGTATAGAATAATTTGGTATCATTGTTTCTAATTTTGACACAAATTATAAAAAATATGCGAAAAACATGATTTTTCCTTAAAAATCCGTTTGCAAGACAGCAAAATATTTTTTTGACGATTTCTATAGTTTCTAGGCTTTTATAGTGTTTTTGGTCCCATATGAATACCTGTAATGATACTGTACGAGGCAGCTAGACCGTTAGACGGCTAGTTGTGCACCGCACTAGAATGCCGTTTTACCTTAAGCCTATTTAAAAAACGTTATTATTGATACGAGAGTGAGTCACCTAGGGCATGACGGCTAACAGTATATCCAATAAGTAACGAAAATAACAATATTTAAATCACAAATGAACGTATATATTAGGAATTCCTCAGAGAGTATCTTAAATTTAAGGGGTAACGGGAGGGCCCTTAAATACTAATAACCGGCGAAGCGGCATTTAACAAAATAGTTAATCTCAATTAAAACAAACAATAAATAACATTAAAAATATTATAAAACTCAGGTGTATAGATGACGTTATTGAAGGTGATGAATGGACTGTATGAGATCTTGTGGTAATGGTGTCGAACATCTGAGTATGACGAGTCAGAGTGTAGATCCAAGTACGTAATGGCAGATGAGAACAGACTACGGCAATGATAATGTTTAGTGATGGTCAGTAGTAGTGGCGTGCAAGGGCACGTAAGATTCGAGCACAAGTGTGCAATAAACAAATAAAAGAATAACGGCGTACAATGGCCGAACAATTTACTATTCAAGCGAAGGCGCTTGTAACAGAACAAAAGTGACTCAAAAAACAATTGACTGACTGACTTACGACAATGAACTGTACACGGAGGTCATTGATTTGCCGTGATGGGTGTGCAAGGGGGTGAGTAAAGCAATTCGCTGGTGATCAGCTGTCCCACGAAATAATATAATCAATGATCTTTGTAACAACTGGTCAACTAGATCCTTCCAAAGGCGTTCTGTACCATACAGATACGGTCGAAAAAAATAATAAAATGAACATTTTGGTCCACCCCAGTATACAGTATTATTAATTAAGTATACCCCTTCATTCTTTTGTTAACCCATAAACCAACAAAATCAGTCCAGCAAGAGCTGAATATTTCCATGGAAAGGCATTAAAAAACAACATACATAATAGTAGAATCAATACTTTTTCGTCTTCGTATCAAAGCTAAAAATCCTATTGTTATTTACAAAAAATTTTAATAAGATGAAAAAGTGGTAAAATTTTCAATACTTAAGTATAAATATCTAGATTACAACGATATTTGTACAAAATACTAATGTCATGAATCTTTTTTTCCCTAAAACTATTTCTTTTTTGTAATTTTTATATTAATATATACTAGAAAACTCACGCGTGAATTCAAAAATATGGCCACTAGGCTACGTTGGATGATTTGATAGAAATTGACCCCCAATCTTTCAAATGAATTTTTGTTAAAGAATAAGTACTGTTTATTATAAATATTTTAACTGATTTTATTAATTATATTTTATCAAATAATTATATTAAAAAAAAAAAAATTATATTTAATTACAGTTACCTTTTTAATATTTAGTGCTTGAAAAGAAGTCTCATTATTTGTCATCAATAACACTTCTCTAACCTGATAAAAAAATACAATATCATTAACGTTTTTAAAGTTTTATTTTTACATAATTTTGAAAATTAAGTGATTGTCGAAAAAAATGATACATTATCTTATCCGTATGTTAATATTAATATTTTATACATGCATGACTAATTTATAATTTTACTAATGTGTTAATTTTTTAATTGATGATACAATGATTTATACATTAAAGCGTTACCCTTTCTTTTATTTTTTTTTCTTCATCTGATAGTTCATCATATGTTAACATCCCTTCACATGCCCTTGAAAGAGTTTCCATTGCGCCTGTAGCCTATCATATAAAAAATATGTTTATTATGATGTACTTTTTATTATAAAATAAAATATTTTTACCGCGTTTGAATAGACTCTAATTGGTTTGCACAACAGGTAAACAATACCAAAAAATAATTCGAAATAAATTTGCCAATGCATTTTACTATTTTTATAACCTTAAGATAAAATAGTATATAGATTTTAATACAACGAACAATGTAATACAAAGTATATATTATTTTTAAAATTTGTTAAATTCAATTGAAAAAAATTAAGTAGAGTATGGGTATATATACTACAAAATCGAAAAAACATTGTTTACTTTTTTATTTTTTTATATACAATTTATCTTGAAAACATAACATTGTTATTCATAAATATAAATAATAAATCTTACTGTATAGTTTTATTTATAGTTTACATATTTACAGATCTGTTATGTGAAGCATGATTGTACAAAAATTTGCTTTTCGTCTAGTTCTTACCGAGTGACTAAATCCAATGAAAGAATAGCGTTGGAATTTATCTTCTTACAGAAAAATATAACAAAAACAACGTTATCAATAGTGTTTTGGAGAATATATGGCGTTATCCACTAGCAATTTCAGAAATTAACGTATACGTTCACAAATCAGCATATAACTTGAAAGAATAAAAGGGTTTTTTTGCAAAAAACCCATTGATTGTGATGTTTTTGTATATATAAAGTTAACTCTTGGTATTGACTGGTTTAACCCCTTTAGCATACACTTCACAATAATCAATTTATTGACTATTAATTATAAGTAGAACCATTTATCTTTGTTTTGCAAACAATGATTGTGTATTTGGAATATTTAAAACAAATTATACAATTATATTTTGTTTGGTCGTGCCAGTGCAAAATGGCGCCGTGGGAGTCGGTGAGTTTCGGTTTTTCATCGTCATGAGGGCGACTTGCCCTAACCGGTTTTACTGTTGTGGTACTTTGTGTGTGCGGTTGTCGTGAGTGGCGTCTCTCCCGTGCTCATATTCTCCTGATGTCCATGTGCGTATCTACAGCAGAATTGCGTATACGGTTTCCTTTATCGTTGACGTCTTGCAGCTGTCGGTCGTTAAATTTGTAGAGCGTAAATGCCCATAAACATTGTTAATCATTGTTTTGTACGGGAAACGTTTGTCATTAATTAGTCAGTGGTTTTTATAAGGTAAAGATCGATTGTGTCGCGCTCGAATGTCACATTCATAATAAAGACATCATAGAGGCCCGGCATTTAATCATTTGGCGAAAAACCTGTCGAAACAGAATAAATCTAACGAGATTCACGTCAAATAAACACGGTTTTTTTTTTAATGAATGTATAATTTTACTAGTTTAATGTTATTGCAGTAATTTTTATTGTTATTTATTCATTGTACATATATTTGTTTCGAGTTTAAGTTTACCAATATTAGAGTAAGATCCAATTGTCATTTATTTTATATTAAGTTTAATAATAAAAAACCCAAAAAAGACAATTAGTCCATAAAATTTTACTTGAATTTTCCTTTGTTTAGTTTTAATATTGATTTATTAATTTTATTTGTTTTACCTAAAGAACCAACATTGACGATATTTAACTCGGCGAGTTACTAGTCCGACTAGTCACGTCAAGCATAGTTTAACTAATGTTAACTACGATAACCTTACTATGAAATCTGTGTATTTTATCAAGTTTTTTAGTTAGTTTTGAGATTAGAAAAGAGCTTTCGGGTGACCCTATGTCTGGTATTCCTCAGTCCACTTTAAACTTAATTATAACTGAAGATAAATGTTAACAAATATTTACATTTCTTAAAATAAATCATTTCTTTTTTTTTGATGGCGTCACTTCGGCTAGCCTTTAGAAGTAGGGGTTGACAAATTTAATTAAACTGCAATTAGCGCTGAAAGTTAAGGAGACAAACGTAGACTAATATTTATCACTAGGTAACAACGCAAGCGGTGAGCATGGCAAATGACGTTCAAGATTGGAAAGGGGCGTTAAATGCACACACAAATGCCGATAACCGGTATGAATTAAAGTAGGATACATTTAAATGTCCAAGAAATTTTTTAAAAGTCAAGTTGAAAAGATTTCTAATCAAATAAAATTTGCTATTTTTATCTAATGCTTGTCGACAGATAAAGTGTCAGATTTTCAAAAATATATTACGAATGAAAAAATATCATCGAAGTTTGATGATTATCAAATCCAAAATTTGAATATCATTAATAATACTTTTTTGAATTATTACATCAAATCTAAAAGTTATTTTGTATTTGATTTATTATATATAATGCATTACTCAGATCAAGATGATGCCCAAAAAATATACGTACTCGCATATTTTATTTTATTTTTTGCAAAGTATTCGTAATTAGGTTATAAATAACAAGAACACTAAATACTAATATTTGATAAATTTATTTTCACGTTAAAATGCATAATTTTGAGATATTTTTCTAAAATTAAGAGTTTTTTTCCAATTTCGGCAACGGTTGGGTCCAACTAGATTAAAATCATGTTCCAATCGGGTTTTAATCAATAAAATCGATCTTAATGTATAAATTAATAGCTGAAAGATTATATGGAAAGATATAAAAATAAAACACACACTATCACATAACCAATACCCTTTCAGCTTCATATCGAAAATAACAAAACCTTGGAGTTTAAAATTATTTAAATGAGAAAATGGATATGATGACACCCTAAGATATTTTTCTGGATAATTATTAGGCGTATTTGTTCGGTAACTGAACTAGTTCCACTTATTATAGGATAATTATTTTAAAAACAGGAATTTTATTTACAATTTTTCACCATTTAATTTTTATTCAAAATTCCACGTAGTACTCTTTTAATTTAAATAAGTCTTAAATTAGAAATACTTTTATTCGTCATATTTTTCTTTAGCTATTTCATAAAAAGTGTTTTGATTTATTTATTTACGTTCATGTTAAACCTTAAGCTTCTAAACAATATTATATTGTTTTTACAAATAAGATATACGTGTGATTTTGAACTAACACATTTGTTGATTAAAATTATTTTCAAAAAATTTAGTCATCGTTTCGTTAACATGTATAAAAATAATTCCATAAAAAGTTTGTAAACTTTACTATACATTTTTAATCTAAAAAAATAATATTGTCTCAACTTGCCGCGTTCTTCGCTATAATAAATATCTACACATTTTTTTTTATTTCAAGCTATTCGCAGGTTTATGTTATTGTTACGGGGTATACGTTAATTTACAAAATCGATTGACGGTATATGATGTACATCCCTCAAAACATCATTGATCATATCATAATTATATAAAATTTAACAAGCTCAATAGTGATGTTGGAAAAAAAATGAACAACAATAAATAGTATATTCTTAATGAGTACATTAACACTTTCTTGTATTTTAGTGTTTATAATTTTATAAAATAGAGTTATAAATATTTAATTCTAATGAAAAATTTAAGTTACATTAAATCTTTAACAGTTTATGAATTAGTTAAATTATGTAAATATATGAGTATTTTACAACTTAAATCATCAAGCAATAATTAAATCAATAGCTCATTAAAAATTAATTTACATATCAAATTTTCTCAACTAAACATAAATCCCAAAATATTTATCTAATAACCTGCGTAGGGTTTATAATATTTATTAGTGTTGATAATATTTCATATAGTTAATTTAAAGACAGGTGTGAGAGCGACATTACTCATTGGGCGACGAATGCTCACTTTCATACGCATCGAAGCTAAAAAACAAAGAGTAATTTATTTCAAGAAACTTTCAAGAATTTTCTGGGAGCATATAACTATATTTGTATTATTAGAAAGTAAATTAATTAAATAAAATGTTGCCTATTTTGTAATATTACTTTTTAGCTTCCATGCAAAGATGAGAAGGTTTTGGTTTTACTATGATGTGTTTTTTTTTGGCTGTTATCACTTTTTCTCATCTCCACAAAACCAATTTCTTTCTACGATACGTCAAAAGATCACAAATAGTATCTAGTTGAAGACATTACCCTTAAAAGTTTAAAAAATTTCCCTCAATTACCGTAAATGAAGGGAAATCTCCAAAAAAATTACATTTTTAAAAATCAGTGATTTTTGACATTTTTTTCACTAATTTTCTTAAAGCTACTATTTATTTTTAAAAATAAACGAATCAATATAATTTTTTTTTATAGATTCATGATGTCTTTACCTATCATATGATATATATTTTTTATAAATCTGACTTTTTACCTGCCCACAAGGGGGAAATTTAAAATGACAACTTTTTCACAAAAAATTAACTTTTTCAACTCAACTTTTGAAAGTGTTCCGGAAATATTGACACTTTTTTATAAATCTTAAATTAAAGCTTATGTAATAAACTAATCATGGATAATCATGGACAAAAAAATTTCGGACTTAACTTTATCTTTTTAGTGAAAATCGCTACTGAATGATATTTTTGAGTGAAAATTCTCGATATTATATTTAGCATTTTTAACTTTATAATGCCATAACTATAACAATACAATTTTTTTATGAGAAATAATATTTTTTAATAATTCTTTTTTCATTCAGGATATAAATAAGGAAATAGCAGATCACGTAGCTTTTGGAATAATCCATCAATTTTTTTAAATTAAACACTATCTAAAGATTTCTATCNATAGTATTTGTTTCCAATGTTTTCATTTCGGCATATTAGAAGAAATATATTTAAAATATTAGTTCTTTTAGTCATGAATTACTTTGTATGATTTCGTGATTATTTGTTTGCCAACTACTGTGCCGCGACCATTCTGTGTTGGTTTTTTTATTATTCATTAGATAGTAATAGATCAGAATTTAATGAACCAGTTTTCGTTTTAGCTTTATAAATAACAAAAATAATCACATAAAAACGTTTATTTTCTACATGGATAAATAATTTACTTATAAGAGATATTTAAATATATCTATTATAATTACTAATTTCGATATTTTATATTTTTTAATTTTTAATACAGTGTAATATTGTATATTTAACAATAAATTATTGTACAAAAACCAAGGTACTTTGTTACTTATAACACAACCACACAAGTGGTGAAATAATAAAAACAATAATCATTTTTATCTTGATAGGTTAATATTGATTTCTGATAGTAAACGTTCTTACTGAGTGCCAATTAGAAATTAATACAATAAATGGCACACAAATCTGAAATATTTGAAATAATGACTAACAGAATTTCTA